AATTTATTATCATAGATTTCTGTAGTTCACAAGTCCAAAATAGATTTTACTGGGCTAAAATAAAGCCATCTGTGTTTCTTTTTGGTGGCTCTAGGACAGAATCCATTTCCTTGCCTTTTCTAGCTCCTAGAGGGTACCCACATTCCTTCATTCATGGTCCTTTTTTATCTTCAAAGCCAGCAACAACAGGCCAAGCTCTTTTCATGTCCTATGACTCTGATCTCCCTCTTCCACTTACTATATTGGGCCCAACTAAATAATCCAGGATAATCTCTCCATCTCAAGGGTAACTGATTAGCAAACTTAATTCCATCTATAATCTTAGTTCCTCTTTGGCACATAACCTAACATGATCATAGATTCTGGGAATTAGTACACAGACATCTTTGAAAGGCCATTATTCTATCTACCACGGCTTTTCATCTTGAGCTAATTGTTCTCCACTACTGAAGAAAAACCCTTCTGAGTTCTGTACTCCATGTTCTCAACTCAGGCAACAGTTTACCAGGCTGGAGACTCAAGTTTTCCAGTTATAACTAAGAAGCACTCTTAGGGTGGTAAGCTGGGGCGATGAAAGGGCTCATCTCATTGGTTTCCCATATTTCAGGGATCATTGTTCTTCGTGGCTTGGTATTTAATGTCTACTCTGGCTTGACTGTATCCCCCAAAACACATGTATTGGAAACTTAATTCCCAGTGTAACAGTATCAAGAGGTGGGACCTTTTAGAAGTAAGTAGGCCATGAGGGCTCTGCCCTTGTAAATGGAGGTTGGTTATCATGGAAGTAGGTTCCTTATAAAAAGACAAGTCTGTCCCCCTTTTCTCTCTCTTCTCCTCTCTTGCCCTTCTGCCTTCCATCATAGGATGATGTGGCACAAATGCCTTTGCCAGATGCTGGCCCTGAATCTTGGACTTCCCAGCCTCCAGAATTGAAAGAAATCTGTTCTTTACAAATTACCCAGTATTGGGTATTCTGTTATAGCAGCACAAAACAGAATAAGACAATGTCTGAAAACCATTGTTTCACGTATTTGTTTCTGGATTGTTAGTTGTTTTAGGTGGAACAGTAAATCTAGTCCCTGTTACTCTGTCTTGGCCAGAAGTAGAGATCTGCTGGCAATTTTTGATTAGATGTCAAACATTATGACTGTTTACCTTGTTGAGTGCTGGATATTTTTCTATTCCTATAGGTATTCTTGAGTTTTGTTCTGGTATGCAGTTACTGGGAAACCATTTGGCCCTTCAAGAATTCTTAGTATAGCTTTTTGGTTATACTACCCCACATCGCTCCAATACTTGGCAAATGCTTTGGGACCATGTCAGTCAAGTCCCCTTGCTCCAGTTAGTCTTTAGCACCTCAGCACCATAGTCTTTGGGAGATTTTACTCTGCTTTTTTTATTTTTTGTGGTAGCTTTTAAGTGTCCCATGCAGTCCAGACCTCAGCAAGTGTCCTTTGGGGAAAACTCACTGCACATCTGGACCCCCTCAACTTTCCAATTCATCCCTCCAACACCACACAGCACTAAGAGCTTTGTTGGTTTTACTTTACCCCACCAGATACTCTGTCTGGGTAAAGGTCAATTCTCAGCTCATGCCCAGAATCAGCAAATGGCCCAAGGAGATAAAACGACTAGTAATCTCAGTTCATCTTGGACAATTCTACCTTTTCTCCTGAACTTTAGTTCATCTAGTCCTGATTGCTCCCAAAATTCTCTGCTGCATCTAAAACTAAGATGCCATACCTCAGAATGCTCTCTGACTTCAGACTGGCTTTTGATCTGGTAGAATTCTGGACTGTCAAATTCCTTTACTTCATCCCAAGATATTCTAACCCTAGATCACTCTCCCAGATAACATATAGAATACAGCTCTGCTAACTGGGGAGAAAAAAAGCCACCATCTTCAGGTTGGTACAAAAGTTTCCAAATATTCAAAATACTCTCAGCCTTTGTCCTGACCCCCACGAATATTTTCTGCGTTGAACACCCATTCCACTACCCAATCCCAACACCCATCTTGTAACTGTGACTCAGAGCTATCATAATCTATAACAAAGATCCTGAAAAACAAGAGGTTAGAGCTGTAGCTCATAGTTTTGAGTATCATTTGGTCTACAGTCAGAAGTATACAGGTCTGCAGTAATCTCCATGACTGTTTCAGGTGCTCAGTATCCTTACCTCATGTTCTCAGCATAAGCTGTCACTAGCAAGAGAGCCTTGGAAGATGCAGTGAGGGGAAATTAGCTCAGGAGTAGTTGAGAAGTCTGTGAAAACCTACTTGGGTTTTAAAATATCACACAGCATATGGACCTTAAACCTTCTAACCTCTGACAAAGAACTTGCCCTCCTCCCTAGAAAGTCAATAAAAAGGGAAAACTCTCAAGACTGGAGTCTCCTTCAGAACACAACTGAGTGCCTGAAGAATGCTAACTGGTAGAACATGGAGCTGTTCATCTTCAGCCAATTTAAGTGCTGGAGCCAGGGGATGAGTTAGGGAAAGGAAGGTGGTACTCCAGGCCTGCATGTGATGCTGGATGAACAGAGGACAGAGGGGTAGGGAGAGGAAGGCACTTATGATGTTCCTGAACCACCTGTGTCATACATAATTGTTGATACAGGGGAGAAGGGAGGGTTGGAAGGGATATAACAAAAGACCCCAAACCAAGTGGGTGGGTCAATAAGAAATGCTTTAGGAAGCACATGCCAATACAAGTTTGGGGTCAGGAGAAATGCTGGTGCCATTTTGTTGTTTCAGTGACCAGGGCACTGATGTTTAAGAGACCATTCTTGCAGAGGCTGAGTTCATATCATATCCACCACTGACCACCTCTAGTCTGTAGGCAATCTTTGGCCGTGCTATTGAGGTTTAATGTTAACTGTTCTGGTTAAATTCAACAGGTCTTCCTTACACATCCTTCTGTCTTACATTTCCACCCCCTCACTAACTCCCCTATTCTTCTCACACTCTGGTCACTTCCACGCTGTCATTCTCTTCTCTCCCTTAAGAAAGTTCAACTTAGTTGAATCTTTAGAGCAGCAAATATAGGAGAGCTTGATTGTTTTAGGAAAAGAAAGTCCACAGGCCAGCTATGTAAATAACAGGATGAGACAAAGCTGTGAAATAAAGGGATGGAAAACAAAAATTATTATATTACAATTATGGCCCTTAAGGCCATCCAAGGTAAGTGATTTGCTGTCACAATAAAGTATATAATCTGTTTTCACATATAATTAAGTATATAGTCTGACAAAGAGAGATAGGAAGGGTCCAGGATAAGTGGTCCTCAATCCTAGATGTATATTAGAATCATCTGGGGAACTGAAAAAGTACAGATGCCTGGACCTCATACCATAGATTTCCATTTAATTAGGGTAGAAGTAGATGCGGCCTCAATATGTTTATAGAATCTCCATAGGTGACATGAATGTGCAGCCAGGGATGAAAATCACTGAGTCTAAGATCTCAGCTAACCCAACACAGGATAATAGCTAAATGTACAGCAGGTTCAGAGAAAATGCTGAAAACCAAATCACTCACTGAGTTTGTATTCCTGTAATTAATGTTGGCATAGCCTGAAACACAAAAAGTGACAGATGGAAGGACATCACTTTTGTCCCCTCCTACACCTATGACTTTATTCAGATGTGCCTGTCTGGCAATTTACATTCTTTAGGTCCTGATACTACCAAGGCAGGTAGATATTGATAATGTAATCAGTAATCAATAAATAACTCAAATATTATTGCTGTATAATGCTTTTATTAAAGAGTTTTATGGAAAAACTCACATTTTTGTATGTGTTACATCATGTAACTTTCAGGCATATCAGAATCCAATGACAAATTACATTTGGAGAAAAGCTTTAAAATTCATACTTGTATGTCACTCCTTTGTGAAACACTGAAAAGCAGCTCTGTACCTCAGCATTAAAGGTTACAAAAAGCACCATTTAAAAGAAGACTCTCATATATTTAATTCCCTTCAAATTATAGTCTTATCCCCCCTTTCTGACAGATACAGAGCTGCACTTACTCAAAATGCTTCAGTGTAATACCAACCAACAGCCTCCAATTTACCAAAATTCAAACAGGTATCATATATGGGACCCAGTGTAGAGATAGGACTAAACAACAGTGAGCTTTGGCTGTCCTAAAACCACAAGCTGGGTAGGGTAAGTGTTCTGTAGAGGGAAATAGAAAAGAATTAAGATAATCAATACCTAAGATGTTACTTAATGTAGGTATAATTGACCATTTAACCTGACACCTACAAAATCCAGAGTGTTTAGTATTTCACACCGATCTTGCTGCAAAAGTACTGTGCTACACACAATTAATTCAAGTGAACACCAACTAGTGTTGGAACTAATAAAAAAAAATTAATTTTTAATGAAGCTTATTCACTTCAAAGCACAATTAAGAAAAGCAAACCAAGACAAAGCCCAAATTAGAATCCTAGAGCTATTCCTTTGCTAAGAATTGGATTCTACAAGTAACAGACTTGAGTTTTTCTATCTTTTCTTCCTTCTTTCTTTTTATAATTTAAAAAAAGATTTAGCTTTTTACTCCAAAAGTTACAGAAATCACAGTCCTTCAATCTCCAATTGTGATTGGCACTTGAGAAGAGACAAATACTTAGATCCATAAAGTTTTGAAAGACCCTAACCACTATCCCTCCCAGGTCCTCCATTACATGGGTAACCGGAGCCAGCAGCCCCTGGTAGAAGACAGCAAGAACTTGGCTTTAAGGATGAATCAGAATAATGCAGGAATGAACTGTGTATCTGTTGTTAAGCCCATGCCCCAAATTACTAGAATGTGAGGATGTAGAAATCTCTGAGAATACAATGTATTTCAAACACACACAAACATAGACTATTGCATATCATTTTTAGTTGAGGTCAAAAATTTAAAAGCCCTATTTCCCCAGTCAAAAGCAGGGAATTCTATCATTAGTATGTCTCCTTCACTTATATCCCAGATTAATATAAACCCAGTGTGGAGGTATCACTTCTTTCTTAATTTAACTTCATTTTAGCAGCATAACATGGAGTATTGACACTTTTCTAAGGTTTTATCTCAGATCCATTAAATCTACAAAAGACTAAAAATAACTGAAGGAAAGTGAGTGGGCCTGGGTCCGCAGGATCCTCAGAAACTTCTCTTGGATTCGCCACCATATAAGCATATGTTTAAAAGTATGCCTAAAATACCACTGAGGCTAAGGGGTGTTGCCCACAGTGGTTAAATCCCAGTCAACTCTAGAGCAAGCTAATTATCACGGGTGGAAGTTCTCCATACCAGCAAAATAACTAACCTATGTTTTAGGTAATGTGTGACTTGAGACTCTGACAAAGTCTACCTGACAAATGAAGTTAAAGCAAAATACAGAGGAAAGGGTACAGAACAGGAACAAGAAAAGGCAAAGGGAAGATGGTTTACACACTGCTAAGTTTTGTTACAATGAGATCCCAGAAGACCACCATGTTATGTGTGATTTCAGGTCTTTTTAAAAAAGGATATTTTTCATTTCTGAGTTATAATAGTTAAGCCTTTATCTTCCTAATATCACTCCTCAACTCAATTGCTCTCTTTCTTTTCCCCACAACCCCAAAAACATGTTGCAGTTCTTTAAGGGTCAGCCCCTCCTGAAGACTTATTTTCTTATTCTCCCAACTTTGACCCTGAAATTCTGATAGGCCAAAAAAAAAAAAAGGCTAAAAAATTTTTTTTGCCTTTACTCATTTTCAAAATCTGCCAAACTCTCTTCTGCATAAAATAAACTATCCTTTTAACTAAGTAAAAGGATGAGTGAACTGTACTTTGAGCTACCTTCCTTCTCTCTCCTCCAGAACAGTGTCTCGAGGACAGACCAAGATAGGGCTTCTCAGAGCCATGGGTGCATAAGCAGTACAGAAAAAGGACAGCGCTGAATACGTCATCACCCAGTTCTTCTTAACCATCTGTTCTATACCAGCTGGTGGGCTCCTGTTTCACATCTGGCTGAAAGATTACCTCAGAGCTTGGGAAACTGACACACTTTGCACATTTCCAGATTAGAAAGATCTGAAGGTCACCAGCACCTACTGGCATTGGAACCAGACCCAATTCACAGAAGCTTCTAGCCTGAGGGAAACTGAAGAGATCTCTTTTCCTGCCCCACTCTACTGATACCCCTGTGTGGAGTAAAAATTTTAATATACGAACACATAATTACATTTCAATACTTCTGACAAAAAATGAGTACAACAAAATTCTCTATGTAATAACCAAGATTTTGAATCCTCCTAAGTGGCCCACTTATTTAATGGGTTTTGGATAAACATAAAATTCTCCTATAACTGAAGACTATGTAAATCCTGAGACTTGGTTAGAATAAGATCTGGCTTGGATTTTTTAAATGGCACGTCATTGAAAAAGTAGTTGGGACCATAAAAGGTTCTCCACAAATACCTTTTGCTGCAGAAGGTGGCCTCGGATGGCTAAAGCAGTATTTCCTCTCAGCAATTAACCACCAAAGCTTTCGATAATTTGCATCCCAGCAAAACGATGAACCCACACCTTACTGCCTCATACCTGGCGTCCAAGAATTCTACATGCCCAAAGACAACTGTGTTGCCAGCCTTGCGTGGAAAAGACAGGAGGTAGCTAAACTGATTTGTGGGTGCGCTTTCAGTGTGGCAGGACTTATCTTAGCAGTCAAGGAGTTTCTCAATCATCAACAGTTTGGCCTCCTTCAGTGTTGAATGTTTTGACTTGGTATCTGTAAAATGGAAGAGCCACAGATACTTGGAAAAAAAAGTTTTATCTCTGAACCCCAAAAGTGGATTGAATAGCTACTTTTCAGTCTAAAATTGAAATCAGTGACCCCACTTCATCATCAAATATTTTTGTTTTTCATCATCAAATATTTTTAAAAGAAGAGGCAGAAGAACAAAATGATCTTGTTAATGCTTAGTGCAAAGAATGATATTTTCATGGTTGGGAAAACCAGGAATACTTTCTTGCTTCTTGGCTTAATAAATCTTTAAGTTAAGGGAACCCTGTAGTGCATCAAATCAGTTGAATGAAATTGTATCTAGAACAGTGTTTAGTGTAATGATGTGCACAGGGTTAGCCATAATAACGTAAGATTGTAGAGGGCTAGGCTAGAGAAGAAAATCTTAAGAACCGTTTATCAATAGCCTGAAGTTCTCCAATGCAGTCTCTTAAGACCAATGGAAAGGCATTTTTTTTTAATTAAAGAAAAATGCAGGCACATAAAAATCTTTCAAGGATGAAAGACATGAAAGTTTTCCCTGGTTCCATTCTTACCTTCCGAGCTGTCCTCTCTGAGAGAGAAAAGATGGGAGCAGGGCCAGGCCAAGTGGGAAAACCTATGGGAATGTGCCAATAGAGCCTAAGCCTTGGGACCAAACTAAAAAAAGAAAAGTAGATTTTCTGCATTCTGCCTTTTTTATAATGCTGAGACATATTTTGTTTAGCAGAAGTTAAAATGAGCAGTAGCAAAGTGGCCTGGGCCTGTGCTGGGCTACACAGGAAACCTTCTGGCAGCCCTAGTCTCTGAGGTGGGTCAGGTCCTATATAACTTTTCAAAGGGGTCACTTACCCAATTAGTTTTGTGTTAGGGAGGGGTCAGGTATGTGATCTGAAGGAGGCTATTAAAGGAAGAATGTGAAATGAGAGGAAAAAGGGTTCTTGCGGGGCATCTGGTGTCATACAAAAAATACAGATTGTGCTACATACTCTGGGAATACAGAGAACCCATGCAAGAAAAGCTGCCCTCGCAATGAGGCAGCTGTAAGGAGGGCAGCAGTCTAACACAAGTCCATCCCTTGGAAAGCCAAGGTAGCAGTGATAGAATCTCCGCCCAAGAAGGATCCTAAGAGTTTGCTGTTCTTTCATTTTAGGAAAAAATTTTCCTACAGAGTTATTCCTATAGCTCCCCCAAACAGGTCTTGGTGAATAGCCACAGGCAGACAGAATACGTCTAGCTGGGGCTAGGAAGCTTCCATTTACCTTCCTCTCATATACATATATATTATTTTTCTTAAAATAAATTCCATGAACTCATAAAGCTCTCATCTGCAATCAAATGCAAAAGCAGAGCATCCTACTTGAAGGCTCTGAAATACACATAACGGCCTCAAAGCAAATCAGCCTTCCAGTCTCAGGTAAGACTGGTGCAGTCTAGAAAGGCAAGGGAGATGCTTCTCCTGAATCCTTGGAGGAAGAAGGGATTCTTTCAGATGGGCTTGTACAACAGAGTAGTGACATACTTCTTCTTGTAGCGATGGGTTGCGCTAAGGACCATCACACTGTCCTGCAAGGAAAAGAAACATATACAGCTAATTCATTAGTCCAGGCAGTAGGCAGCTCTTCCCAGCCATCGGTCCTCCATAGTTACTCACTTTTAACAGACATAGTTTGATATAATAGAAAGAGGTTGGTTTCGGCGTCAAATTAGCTTCAGTTCCAATCCTGACACCTATTGTTATTCTACTCGTGGCCTTGGGTAATAGTAATCTACTTAATCTAAGTGTTTTTTTCTCATCATTACAAAGGATAATACCTACTATTAAGGTGGTTGTGATAATTACATCAGAATATCTGGCACAGTATCTGACACATAAAAGGTGCTGAAGAAATATTAATCTCTTACCTCACTCCCTTTCCCTCTTTAAATTCTAATATTGGGTTTAAAACTAGTAAAGAAAAAAAAATATCTTGGCATCCATTTCTAGAAGAAAGTCTTAAAAGCAATGAGAAGAAAAAGAAATGATCCTTCTGAAAAAGCATTTCTAAGCCCCAAAGCAGGTCTAATTTCCATTAAATACCAGCGGTAAAATCAAAAAGTCCTCTTTGATCTAGAGGGAACCTGGGAATCCCCCTGTATCCTTGAACAAAGTGAACAAATCCCCCAAAATCCTCTTTAGGAAAACACTCAATCCAATGAATCAACTCCAAACAGCCTACCCAATCTGAGAGAACCAGGAATGGCTCAAAGCCAAGCTGAGCCACAATAATCAAGACCTTCACCTGGGTCAGAACCAGTAAGAAGAGAGTAAGCGGTACCATTTCCCAGGCTGTGTTACAGACCATGGATGTATCACAAGAGGTGATGGCAGACCTATGGGTATCAATTGATAGCCAAGGAGCAGTTACTAGAGGCAAAATTCAACCAGATCCCCAAGAACCCAAGCAAATCCAATCTAGAAACCAGTGCATCTTCCTACCTTCCCCTGTACTGTATTACTCACAACAAATGTTAATCCGGCTAACATTCTGTGACCAGAGTATCCTGGTACAAAGCCTAAACATGACAGAAGCAAGGCAGGTAAAAAAAGTTTGCCTCCAGGGCAAGTTTTATAGACATGAGTAGCAGGTGAGAGAAAGATCTACTTGGAAAGACCTGGCACAATGACATATAGGAAAGAACATGGAGTTAGGGTAGAAGGACTGGACTTCAGTCCTGTCTCTGGTACTTACTGGCAATTTGACCTTCTCTGAGCCTTAGTTTCTTTATCTATAAAACAGGAGTTAAAAATAATACTTACCTCACAAGGTTATAAAAATAAAATTCAATAATATCTTTTAAAACTTTTGTGTATTACTACATAATTTGTTAAAGTCTGCTGTATCAGTGAGTTTCCTAATCTAGCTGCACATCTAAGAAACATAAGCAGCTTTAAAAAAAAATTACTGGGGCCCATCCTAGATGCACTTATTTGGAATCTCTGATAGAGCCTCTGAATCTATATTTTCACAAACCTCCCCAGGTGGTTCTGATGCTGATCAGTCCAGCTGGATGACCACAGAGCTATATAACTTTGTTCCATTAGCCAAACCACAAAGACACAACAAGACAGAACAGAATGGATATTTTCAACCCAGAGTCTAAAGCAGCAGAGAAAACAAGGAGGACCCTAGAGTTGAAGGGGACAGGGCAAATCTGGTCACATTCTCCTTTACCTTGTACACAGGAGAGATGCAAGCCCTTGGATATATATGAATTCCACCTTTAAAAAAGTGGAAGCCTTAATACCACATTTAGGCATTCTTTGAACTGGAAGCTAAACCTGCTTTTTTCTACAGATGAAATCCTGTTGCTATGAACTCAAACTTAAGTAGGTGGTATAAAGGTTTTAGCCATCCAAAATGAAACTGGGAAGCAAAAAAGTCCATTCAGTCACAGGGCAATTCAGCTAGCCAGGACACAGATACAGAGACTGAGACTTAAAACCAAACAAAACAACCCAGTAGTTAAAATAAGGAGGTTCTTCTATAATTTGACCATTACTGCCAGCTTCAGCTTCAATAAAATAGCAGAGCAAGTAATCATTGGAGAACATGCGTTACCCTTGCCCTCTCATTTTGGGGAACTCTGTCAAGAGCCAGGACCACCACTTACCTTAATGGACAATGCATAGAGATGGTTCAGCATAACATGGTTGGGCTCAGGGAGTAAGGCTGGGTCACACTAAGAGAGAAAAAAATCACCAAGTGGAATTAATGCACAGATAAACCAACAGCTCATTCTTTCTCAGAGCTCTTTGAGACTGTTGAGAAACTCTAAACCAGATGCATTATCTTTTTTAAATAATGTACCCATTCTAGTATGTATCAATAATACAATCCCATTACAGAAAATTAGAAAAATTCTCAGTCCAGGGCAAAAATCCTAAGCCTCAACATCTACTAATCTTCCTTAATAGAGCCAAAACAAAAATCCTGCCCACAGTACAAGATTTGTGTTAAGAGGTAAAAATAATCTTAGTGGGAATCAAGTAGATTGAACAGAGATGTAAATTATATGTAAAAAAATTTTATAATTCTTTCCTATATCCCTAAATGGTAAGTGTTCCTTATGTTGTGTTGGAATACAAGTCCAGAAATTGGTTCTGGCAATCCATAGCTCTGATCTTGGTTTTATTAGGATCAGGAGACAACTATGAATTTTGATACCAGTACCTGAAGAAGCCACAACTCAGCCCTAGAAAAAGTAATCTGTAATGGCTATTGATATGTATATGATTTGTAATCTCAACACAACTTTGTAATAATCCCAACCTTTATGATTACTGAATTTTGGCCCAAATATTAGAGACCCCCAGATGCCCCAGTAATACTCAGGATACTCACAGAAATATTAGTATCCTTGTTAAGAATAACTTGGAGTAGGTGAGGAGGCAGGATGGGTGGGGATTTGAATCTCTCCTCAGATCGAAACACATACATTTCTTGACCATAAGGCCCTGGAGGTGAGCTGGAGAGGTCTGGAAAATATTTATGCAAATATGAGGGAAAGCTGGAGAATGAATAAGAATGCATGGAAAAAGCTTTGAATACATGGCAGCTAATATTGTAATAAATATGGTAAAAGTCATCGATCATGTGACCTGTTGGGTTTACAGCTGAAAGGTAGCCAAAGGAAAAGGCTGAGTCATGCTGGCCATCATCCATGAAGTTCCTCAGCAGGGCAACATGATTTGGGGCCGGAAGAAGAGAGAAGGAGACAAAAGACTTAGGCTCAGGGAAGAGCTGCTCCATTTATCAGTCGTATGACCCTCGACAAATCCCTGCACTGTGGTCAGTTTCCTCATAAAATAAAAATGATAATCTTTGCCCTATTTCACAATGTTTTTGAGGAAATCAAATGAGATAATGGATGTGAAGATGCCTTGTAAACTTTCAAACAATGTGAAAAGATTAGATTTCTTCTTTTTTCCAGCCAAGCAATAGACAACAAGACAACAAACGCTAAGACTACTGATACTACAATGATTGCAGTAATATAAGATATACACAGTAGTTGTTAGGGAAATGCAAATCAAAACCACAACAAGATACCACTTCATACTCACTAGGATGACTATAATCAAAAAGACACACAATACCAAATGTTGGCAAAGATGTGGAGAAATGGGAACCTTCATATCATTCCCATTGCTAGTGGGAATGTAAAATAGCACAGCCACTTTGGAAAAGGATTTGGCAGGTCCTCAAAAAGTTAAACACAAAGTCACCATATGACCCGGCAATTACACTCTGGGTATATATTTGAGAAATGAAAATATATGTCCACAAGAAACTTATACACAAATGTTGATAAGAGCATTATTTATAATATCCAAAAAGTGGAAACAATCCAATTGTCTATCAAGTAATGAACTGATAAACAAAATGGTATGTCTATAACAATGGAATTTTATTCAGCCATAAAAAGGAACAAAGTTCTGATACTTGTTACAACATGGATAAACCCTGAAAACATTATGCTAAGTGAAGGAAACCAGACATATAACACCACATATTGTATAATTCCATTTATATGAAATGTCCAGGATAGGAAAATCCCTAAAGACAGAAAGTAGATTCATGGTTGCCAGGGGTGGAGGAAAGGAGGGAATGGAAACGCGACTGTTAATGAGTACAGGGCTTCTTTTTGGGGTGATAAAAATGCTCTAGAATTAGACAGAGGTGATGGTTGCAGAATTCTGTGAATATATTAAAATTACAGAATTATACAAATGGTATGAGAATTATATCTCAAAAAAGGAAAAAAGTATTCAGACAAGAATAGAAGGAAATACACAAAAATGAAGAGAACTATATTATGATGACATTTAATTTAAAAAATTTTGGCCGGGCATGGTGGCTCATGCCTGTAATCCTAGCACTCTGGGAGGCAGAGGCGGGCAGATTGTTTGAGCTCAGGAGTTCGAGACCAGCCTGAGCAAGAGCGAGACCCCGTCTCTACTAAAATTAGAAAGAAATTAATTGGACAACTAAAAATACATAGAAAAAAATTAGCCGGGCATGGTGGCGCATGCCTGTAGTCCCAGCTACTCGGGAGGCTGAGGCAGGAGGATCACTTGAGCCCAGGAGTTTGAGGTTGCTGTGAGCTAGGCTGATGCCACGGCACTCACTCTAGCCCAGGCAAAAGAAAAAAAAAAAAAAAAAAACTGTAAAACTGCCAACTGAGCTCTCTAACTGGCAAGATTATGCTGAGGCAGGTTAACAATATAAAACCATGCACATCTAGCCTCTGATGGGTGATGCTGCCAAAAGTCAATGGAAAACTTGAATTATTAGAAACAGCTTTTCAAACTATAGGCTGTAGCCTATTAGTGGGTTATAAAAGGTAAAATAGAAAATAGAATCTATCACCTGTAATAAAGGCAAATATTGTACCATGAGACTTGTGTTACAGTTTGTATATATGTATATGTGTGTGTGTGTTGGGTTGCAATGCAAAACAAATGTCCTACTGTAGATCCTGGTTAAAGAGTTTGAAATAAAATACGTTAGACTGAGACTTTTTTTGCCACAAAGAAGGGGACCTAAATGTTTGCAGGAGAAAGGTATGTGTAGGATTCAGAAGATTCCTGAGGAGAAATGGAAAAACAAAACAAAATAAAAAATAACTTTTGGGAAGGAACATGCATTCAAGACAGACACAGCACGAAAGAGCAAATACTACAAAATTACCTCGACAAGATGTCTCTGAGCTTTCCATAGAATCTAGCTTTAAAGCATCAAACACCTCGAAATCAGATTTCTTGACATGAATCAAATTGTTAATTGTGCCGAGCTGACTGGTAACCACAGGCTGCAACAATCAACAGAAAAAAAATATTGAATCCCCTTTTCAAATCCATTTCTTCCATCCAACCTTCCTCTTTTACTAAAAGTTAAACATGAACATACTCAGCCCTTCCATGTTTTATCAAGAGGGAAATCCTCCAGGGTAGGGGAGCTGCTGCCCATCAATCCTGACAGCAATGACAGCTAAAATGGGACGAAGTCAATATTGACCCTTGGAGATCAAGGCCTTACCTCTGATGGATCATGAACCCACTGTCCATCCACAAAGAACTTGTATTGGTGCTCTCCCTCAGGGAGGTCCAGGATGGCAACAAAGTCATTATGGCTATAGAAGAAAATAGAAAGGCAAACAGGCCAAATTTCTTTTAGAAGACAGAATGGAAAAACCAAGTGGCAATCACAGTATCATACCAATGACATCCCATATTCCTAAGCCATTGTATCCCCTGGTGTGAAAAATAACTATAAACCCATTCCTTTTCTAAATCACACTGCACATGCAACATGCATTTACCGGCCCCTCCCAACCTTAGTTCTTAATCCGTATCTGGAAAAGAATAATAAAGACATTAATTCTCCCAAATGGTTCACCTTAGTACAACTATTTTTGCTTCAGTAGAGTAGGTTCCTCATCACAAGCGTAAATAAGGTAACAGTTAGGTTCAGGATACAGAAGTGCCTCAAGGTATTCCTTCCCTATTTTGGTGAACCTTTTCTGGAACGTGCCCTACCATACCAAGGGCCATTCTCACAACCAGTTAAATAATTCACTATTGCTTTGCAGGCAACAAATCACATTACTATCAAGAACTTCACAATGTGTTTTGCTTTCGTGAAGTCAGAGAAACAAGACTCAGCCAGTTACAAAGGACCTCCCACAAGCATAGAATTTTGAGACTGTGTAACACAGTCCCAAAGAATATATCCACAAAACTGTTGTAAGTCCCTCTGAGGCAATTATAATTCTATCAAAAGTGGTAAAATATCTCTGACTCACTATGAGGTTAAAAAAAAAAATTCCACAGATATTAAGTGGTCACAGAAAAGGGCATGTTCTAGAATGATTCCCTAGCAGGTAGAGAAAAGAAGTCCAGCTGAGTAGCTGAGTCTCTCTTCTGAGAAAGGAAATCAGGTCTCTATTCCTAGACCCTGTAGACTCAACCAAGACACTTGTCTTCACCTCTTAATCAGTGGAATCTTGGTGCTCCAATTGTTGAAGGACCCAGAGATGAAGACCTCCTTGCCTCCTTCAGACCAGCGGATAACAGTGGGCCGGGCCTGCTGTGTGGGCTTTACGGAGTCCTCCAAATCCTGCTGCCATGATACAAACTCTTTGTCCCCAGGGAGCTGTAAGAAGGAGTAGGTCATCCCTAGAATAAATTGTGACCCAAGAATTCTTAAAAGGTCACTCTCCTCCCTAGAGAAGAGAAGGGTGCTAGGCTTCGGCTAAGGATATAAGTCCTAAAATTTGCAACTGAAACAGATTTTGAACAAACTATAGAAAAAGAACTCATCTGGGACCAAAAATGGTTAAATGGCTTATGCTCAACCACTGTCTAAATCATAGCCTAACTTCTGAGTGTGCACACATCACTCACCCTTTCAGAGCCTTAGGATCTCCCTTTTAAAAAAACAAAACAAAAAATCCTTACTTCCTATTACCAGCTTAACTCAGGCAGGCATTTATGATATACTTTTGAGCCCCTCTTAAGAGAAAAAAATATGAAGACAAAGTATGGTTCTATAAAAAATAATTAAGTTAGCCATATATTTTTTTTTATAGGTAAATATGAACAGCTTTCAATGATCAGTTATAACGGAAGTTAGAGATATCAAAATTCATGAGGAATTCATAAACTCTATTTCAGCTAATAGATTAGAAAAAGGGACATTAAAAATTTTAACATCAGATCACTGATTATTTAAAATTTGAGAAATAATTAAGGAATCTTACTTGTTCTCCTATGCCAGATTTATACTAATTATTTCAGGAATAGGAATGGAGCCCCGAGGAGCAAGAGATCAAAAACACAACTTCCTTTAACAAAAGCAGTTCCATTATCAAGTGAGGTTTGTAGGATTCTGAAAAAAATTAACTCTTTACTAAGTTTGTTTTCATTACTATCCTTTAGACCAGGAATTTGCAAACTAAGGCCGGTGAGCCAAATGCTTTTATTAAGTTTTATTGGGAAACTGCCACACTCACCTGTTTACGTATTATCTACAGCTGCTTACCCAAGACAGTGGCAGAACTGAGTAGCTGTGACAGAGACTATGTGATCCACAGAGTATAAAATATTTACTATCTGGCCCTTTACAGAAAAAGTTTGCTGACCCCTGCTTTAAGACTGGGTTAAGTGACTTTGGTAAATAGGTAAAAATAAGACTGTACAGTATTAAGTCAAAATATTACCAAATAAAATAATGTGGGTTAAAAAAAAGGAATAGCTTATTCATTTGGGCTTTCTTTTCAAGAGGGTTGAGGTAGTTTACCTTCCATACTGTCTCTCCGTATCCTCAAAATGATAGTAGGAGACATCAGTAGCAGCATAATCCAAAGTAAATGCAGAAAGAGATCTGAAGGGACTTTCACATTATATAAGAATTGGCTTAAGAGAAAACCTTGGTCTCCATATTCTCAGAGCAATGCACTCTTGCCTGATTGGCTACATTAAAATTACAGGAAATTTTACATATGCCTAAGAAAAACTCTCAGATCCTGATTCAGATATAGGATCTGGGAACCTAATTTAAAAATTTTTAACTTTCTTAAATTTTTTTTCCCCCTGGAGATGAGGTCTTGCTATGCTGCCCAGGCTGGCCTTGTACTCCAGGTCTTAAGCAATCCTCCTGCCTCAACCTCTCAAGTCTCTGGGATTATAGGCATGAGCCACTGTGCCCAGGTTGGGAAGCTATTTTTAAAATCTTCCCAGATAATAACTATCTGTGATTATGTTAAAATAAAGAAAAAAACTCATCTTTAGAGGTATATTCTAAAATGTCACAGATAAAACAATATTTGATAGAATGTCTGGAATTTGCTTCAAAATAATTGATGGGAGGACAGTGGATTAGGGTATAGATGATATACATCCATTCATGATTTGATCATTGTTCAAACTGGGTGACAGGTATATAGAGTTCATTATACTGTTCCCCCTACTTTGTAAATGTTTCAAATTTTCCATAAAGTATGTAAACAAATCTCAGATGATTCTAATGTGCAGAGGATTGAGAACCACTGAACTAGCCCACTGAAAAAGGCCAGCATTCAAAGCAATGTAGGCCCCTCTGCCACTGTTTCTATCAGTTAATTTTATGACTTAGGAGTTTCAGATTAGAGTTTGAAAGCTACAAACTATTAATATGCCTAGCTTTGGAGGAAAGCCTTTCCACTTATGACAGGACATTTCCGTGGTAGGAATGAATGCAGCTGACTAGCAGAAAGATTGTTTACTCCCAGTTAAATAGTCAGCAAGACTACCAGGAAAAGAGGCAAAACAACAATTAGAGTTACAGTTTGATGATGTTTAAGTAAGATGTGGAGGTTAGAAGTAAAGAAGGTAGATTGAGAAATACAAAGTTTTAGATTTGGAAGAGACCCTAGGAATTATCTGAACCAATTTTCTTATTTCACAAATGGCAAGACTGAGGTGAGAGAGAAAGAATGATCCAAAATAGCCCCAATTCAGACAGAGCAACCTGGCTTTTATTCAGGACACCAATTACTGCATTCATAGTTTGACAAATACACCGTACTTAAATCCTGAGTCATCAATGTCAGAAAAGGATAAAAATACAATGAGGCTGATCACTTAGAGAAAGCTCTGAGGAAGTAAATTCAGATGGCTGGGTAGACAGCCCAAATGATGAGGAAGAAGTCCTGAAGTGGGAGAGGGAAGAAAGGAATGGAGAAGAAACCCCAAGAAATGCTCCTTCCAATCACTCTCACTTCTCTGTGATTATGTTCTCAACGGGATCCATGAAAATAAACCACAGAATCCAAATTTCACGTGTTACCAATGTGGCAAATTATACTCTATTTACTCACTAAAGCCCTGGTTTGATAGGAAGTGATAAAGTGATAGGAAACATCAAACACACCCCAATCTCCTCAATCCCTCCAGTTTTCTATTACACCCACTCAGCCTATCTGGAAGAATTAAGCGTATTTAATGCTGACAGCTCTAAAAGCAATTAGAAACATTAGAGTGGTAATCACATTGCTGTCAGCTCCATCTGTGCTTTCTGTAGGGTGAACACAAGTTGCCATTTCCCTGAAAGTCCTTGGAAATGAGAGCAAGGTCTTCAGGGCAGCTGTGGGTTGTTGTTTCCAGCCACGGCAACATTTTGAAGTACTACTGAGACTTGAAAAATCCTGGAATCATTTGCTCTCCCACTTGGGGAGCAGCTGGGTGTGAAAGAAGCTCAGCCTTAGCCACCACAATTATAAAGTATGGTATAAAAATTGAGCAGTCAACCAAATGATGTCCTTTATTGATCCCCAAGACTAGGAGAAAGTACTCAAATAAGCAAGTGATTGATGCTCACAACCAAAGAAGAGGACCACAAGCGCAGAGCTCCTAGAAGGGCAAAAATGATACCGATACACAAAAATTTTCGAGAAAAAGAAATTCATTTAGCTAGCTCAGGGCAAAGGTGAGAAACTACCAGCTATGACAAGCAGCTCGTGCAACCTAACCTCTGAAGTTTTCCACCAGGGCTTACACCTATAAATTCAGCAACACTGTAGAAGAGGGCACCTGGGCATGTTAGGGAAACCAAGGATGGGTCTGGGGTAGGTGTCTATTGTCTCCATGCTAAACAATGTGGCCAACAGATTAATCGGAACACCAGGAAAACAAGAACTCCGCCTCTTTATCTGATTTTGAGGCAGCACCGCCAGAAGAATTACCATCTAACACCTCTGTCCCCGGAAAATTCCTTTAATTCAAAAAACCGTAACCCAGATCAGTGTGATGAGAAAGAACCAAGAAAGGGAGGAGGAGCCCGAAACCAAGCCCGCTACAGCATCGCCACCAACTGGGGGCACCGGGACGCTTACCTTAGAATCGGGCAGGCTGAAGACGCTGGGGTCGTCGGTGCTGCCCACCATGATCTTGTGCTCCTTGCTCGGGCCATGGCCGCTGGCGCCCTCAGCGCGTGCAGCCTTGGCGCCGTGGCGCTCCCCGGACACCCGGTCGCTGGTGGTGTTTCCCATGGAGGCAGCTCGTGTTGGGGGCCACCTGCCGCGGGGAACAACGGGGCGGGCAACACCCGAGTCGCCGCGTCAGGGGCGCCCCCGGCCCCGCCCCTGCGCCCTGGGACCCGGCAAGGGAAATCCCCGCCCCGGGGAAGCCGTGCCCCGAGTCCCCTCCCTCCCCGCCTGCAGAAATGCCAGCGAATGCCCAGGCCCCGTCGCCGCCCCCTGGTCAGGAAGCCGCTATCGGGAACACCCCAGCACTCACTGTCGGGGCGCCCCCAGCCCAATCACCTCCGGCGATGCGCTCCCTCCTCCTCTGGCCACCGGCGATGTGGCTGTTCTGCGGATCGAGCCACCAATAAAGTTGTTGAAATTGAAGCCGCACCCTGGACGAGCGATCCGGGTTTCCTCCTAAAATGGCTACAAGGCCCGCGGCGCCGGCCCGCCCCGTGCGCGTCCCCAGCGGCCTGCCTCCGCGCTGCCCCGGGCCCGCCGGCCTCTCTAGCCGCCTTCGCCGCCTCGATGGTGGGCAGCCGCGCGCAGCCTCCGGCGCCACGCTGGGGTACCCGGGGAGCGCGGGAACGTTGAGCCCAGGAGAGCGCCCGGGGGAGCGGACGGGCCCGAAGAGACCCTCGGCGCGGGGCTGCGGTGCTCGGTGCCAAGGGAGCGGCGCTGCTTTCTCTCTGGCCCCTTCCCCGGCCTCTGGTGCGCCACACGTTTTCCAGGCAGCGTCCTTGTGATAGGCGACCCCGAGAGGTGGGTTCCAATGGGGAATGAGAAAACGGACTTCCAAGTCGGTGCAGAAGGAAGTGGTGGTAATTGTTGGAGGTTAAAATTCTGTGTGGCGGGGAGCGACAAGGAGGGAGCTGTTAGCACGACTAGGGTCCCTGGGAAGAATTCAAGATGGAGTGATTAGGGGATAGACTTTGACAAATTAGTAAAATGGGAGTCTCAGGAGGACAGTGTTCTTCTAGGGTAAGAAATAGCATATGCAGCAAGAAACCCCACAAGAAAAAAAAAATTCAAGACGCAGAGCAACAACAAAAACATCAGAAGGAATACTAAAAGTATAAAAAGGGCAAAGACAGTCCTGGGTTGGGGGGGATCCAGTTTTATATATATAATTAATGGAACTTATAAGGTATTTATGAATTTTTTCTTTGTATTATATGCATGTCTCATTCCTCACTAGAAACCTTGATCACTCAACGTGTGTTACACAGACGTGCAGCATTGGCATAACTTGGGAGCTTGTTAGAAATGCAGAATCTGAGGCCCCATGCCGACGTTCAGAATCAGAATCTGCATTTTAAGATCACGTAAAAGTGTGAGACGCACTGCTTCCGGAGCTGGCAGACAGTAGATCCAGGTTTGATTCCTTTTCATATTATGCAGGCACCTTGTACAGAGTAAGCTTTTAATAAACATTTGCGGAGTGAATACTGCTATACTACATTTCTAAAAAGCTAGGACACTTAGGCTTAAACACAGCTGGTGATGGGGGACCCAGGTCTCACAGACCACCCTTTCTGAGTGAGCAGCCCTGTTTGTTGAAAAGTTTGTTTTTACATTATGAAGTTGAAAATCCGCTAAAGTCCAACAAATCCACTGCTCCCCCATTCTTTGCTCTGCCCCTTAAACACTCATTCTCTGGCTCTTAACCAAAGATAGTTTACAGAAAAAAGGTACAATTTTACTGCAACCTCTTGCTCACCCCTCCAAAAACTTTACTGCTGGGTACCTCCTTTTTGGTTATCTCTATCTTTATCCCTCCACCGCCCCCCCCAATTCCTTTCATCCTTGCCATGGGACTCTGAAGCAAAATCCTTCATAATACATTAAAACTTAGTTTGTGTACATCTCAGTTTTCTGATCCCAGGATGGTTTCTCCATGCCAAATAATATGTCCTTGGTATGTATTTCCTTGCAATAGTTGAATCAGCTTAGGAGAAGCAAACTGAGTACTATATTAGTCAATGGAAAACTTAATTAAAGAGAGAAACTGTTTCTGTAAAGCTAAATGGAAATGACTTTTGGATCATCTGCTTTGGAAGATTATCCGTGACACTATTCTGTTCTAATAGCATTTTTAAGACACTGAACAGTTGATAAAGTCAACTTTGAATATTGCATATTTTAGACACAGAGCAAAAGTAATTTGATGCTGTAGGCAGAATTAAGTCTTCTCCTTAGTCCCAAATTCCTTTTACATTGTTTTTAGACTCAGGAATGACTAGGTAAAGAAACAAGATCCTCTTAACCAATGCCAGTATAATTGCTCCCTTGAGTTTTATTGCTGTCACCCCAATGCTCTATATTTCCTTCAAGAGGGAAGGAAAAGACAGTAATAGGCAAAGTAATTGGTGGGGGTTCTCCTGATGTTACTGTACATAGGATGTCATTGCCACTGATCTCCTCAGATCAACCATTCTGCTTGGTAAACAGGAAAATAGCAAAAAGTGTGGGAAGAGGCCAGGCGTGATGGCTCACGGTGGCTCACGCCTGTAATCCTATCTAGCACTCTGGGAGGCCGAGGCGGGCGGATTGTTTGAGCTCAGGAGTTCGAAACCAGCCTGAGCAAGAGCGAGACCCCATCTCTACTAAAAATAGAAAGAAATTAATCAGACAACTAAAAATATATATAGAAAAAATTAGCCGGGCATGGAGGCGCATGCCTGTAGTCCCAGCTACTCGGGAGACTGAGGCAGAAGGATCGCTTGAGCCCAGGAGTCTGAGGTTGCTGTGAGCTAGGCTAACGCCACGGTACTCACTCTAGCCCAGGCAACACAGTGAGACTCTGTCTCAAAAAAAAAAGTGTGGGAGGCCTCACATGCAAGCTTTCATGCGCACTGCTAAAGGTGTCGGACTTCCTCTGAGAGGTGAGGATGTGGGAACGCGGGAAGAGTGTACTGATTTTACAGAACTGTATGACAGGTTAGATTGGGCATCTGGAGGCTAATAATCCCATCTCCACTCACCAGGTCCATCTCCCATTTATGATCAAGGATGGGTATGACATCTGATCTTGATGGTTTCCATTTCAAAAAATAATCTGATCTTTTTTATAGTTAATCATATACTTACCATGCAGCCTAGTAATCCCACTCTTAGGTATTTATCCAAGTGAAATAAAAACAGGTTGACATAAAAACCTGTACACAAATGTTTATTTGTAGAAAACATATTTGGCTTTATTCATATTCATCCCCAAATGGAGAAAGCATGAATGTCTTTCACTTACTGAATCAATAATCAAAATGTGATATAGCCATAAATGGAATACTACTCAGAAAAAAAAAATACTCTTGATACACACAATAATATGGATGAATCTCAAATGCATTATGGGAAATAATGCCAGGTCCATTTATATGCCATTCTGGAAAGAGCAAGACTATAGGATCAGAAAACAGATTAGCACTAGCCAGAAGTTGGGGGTTGGGGGAATGGTTAACTACAAAGGGGCATGAAGGAATTTTCCAGAGGGAAGGTATGGAACAGTTCTGTATCTAAATTGTAATGGTGTTATCAAAACTCACTGAACTGTACACTAAAAAGGGTGAGTTTTACTGTATAAAAATTATACATAAAACAACAGTACTATGAACAAAATTAGCTTTAGCAAGAGGAAAGATATAAGTTTATATACAAAAGAGACTACTCAACCATCGGGTAAACTAATTATTTTGAAAACAAACACCAAAGATTTTATTTTATTCTTAATTTTTTATAGCTTTTATATAGGGTGGAGAAGTGGTAGTGAAGGTCATACATACTGCCCACCCAAAGGAAGAGAGACCCAATTCGAAGCTATAGAATTGTCCCCCAATACTATCATAATTCAGCCTTTCAGATTCCAAAGGAGTTACATATAAATTATATCTTGTGATCCTCAAAACTGCCCTGTGAGGGTAGGCAGACCAGATGACCAGTCATATTCCATTTTATAAGTGAGGCTAAGGCTAAATATTTACCCAGTATTTCTTGAAATGATATATGTAGTCCATTTAGTTCAACAAACCTTGATTGGGCCTATGCTAAGCAGCCCCTGCTCTAGAGGAGCTCACACACTTGAAATCTCTGTAGAAACCACTGTGACTCCAAATGGGTGTGATGTATAGTGATAGCTATGACCTAACACTCACAGAAGATGTCCTTTTCCAAAATTATAGACTTACATTATTGGAAGAATTAGTATCTCAATTAGCACCTTAATTAACCTGCATTGATTGAGCACCTAGTATGACTACATCATCACTGCATAAGTATTGATTTGGTGCAAATAGACTGCCAACTGTAAATTGTTTGACTTAGGACAAGTGTCTTTATCTTTCTAGTTGTAAATTTTCTCATCTGTGAAACGAGAGTATTATGCATGTGGTCACTAAATCCTGGGTTAGGGCTGGAGACATCAGTATGAATTCATGTTTAGCTTAAGATAGGTACAGATGGATAAATATATTAATAGAAATACTTATAAATATGTGTGTACTCATAGGTTAGTATACACACGTATTTCTAAGCTCTGTCCTCTGAGGGGCCTAGAAGCAATGACAACCAGGAGCAATAAGTGCACCCAGTTCTTGGTTTCTAATACCATTCTCTAATAAAAGGAACCAGGGCTCCTGGGAGAAATGGCTGATTCTAGGACTGGGACAGGGAATACATAAGATGAGTCTGCAGCACTTTATAGTGCCAGGAAGTAAAGAAATACTTTAAAAACAGTGAAAAAGTGACACAGGAGCCAACTAAAAGAGGTCCCAATGGCTTTAGCCGGAATAATTTGAACAATAAAATAAATAATTCAGAATTGGATTGTAACTCAAATTATAAAATATATACCCATGAATCCATACTGATATAAATAAATGATTAAATAAATAAATGGTGGATAATTCTCATACTGAAGAATTCCAAAAATTTATGTAGATACTTTGCTGTCAAGGAGATGGAACATAATTATCCACCCCTTAAATGTGAGCTGAGCACAGTTACTTCCTTTCAAAGCATACAGTATGGATGGGGGGAAAAGAGTAACTTTACAGTGGAGAAACCTGACAAACTCTTACCTCAGCCAGGTGATCAAGGCTAACATCATTAGTAATAA